GGGGGGGGGGGGGGTTTACAGCAATTAGTCTGAAAAATATATGCACTTCAAAACAAGAATAAAACCAAGTCAACTTATACTCACCTCCACTGACATGTACTTCATAAAGTGAGTATTTAGGGGATGACAACATTCGCATGTCAGGTCGGAATTTCTCTGCCAAAGTTTCTATTACATCTTGTGTTGTAGCGGTACTAGACACACGGATACATTTTGTTGCAAAATTTCCAGCTGCTTTATCTTGAAAATAAAATCTCATTACTCCATGGAATTCCAGGTCCTGTAATGAAATAAGAGGAAGATAATTTTGATTGGTGGCTGGGAATGGTTTATTTTTAAAAAGTTATTCCAGCCATTCACCATTGATTCATGTCTTTGTAACTGTGCACTACAATTTGTTAAGTAGAACAGGAAGCTGGGATAGCCTATGAATACAGATTTCCAAATACTCCAAGCTGTTAGAGAAATTAGTAATCTATGCCTCAACTTTTAAATATTCAGCACCAAAGAAACATCAATTTTAATTCAATTCTAATCCTTCCAGAATAGACTAATCCATAAAATTACCCCAAAATGTGCATGCTCCATACAGTCCTATCTTCTAGGCACATTATGCATTCCAAGGCACTTTTCATTAAGAGAATTTCTTTATTGCGTTAGCCGACATCCTGGGGAGGTTGTTCCCCAAAGTTCTGCATGAAAACCCAGCTTCTCCTATTAAGTTTTGATACATCAGTTGACTGTACCTTTATTTTGCTGAGATTTAACAGGTGTCCATGACACCATGAGAAATCTACTTGGAGTGTCAAGTCTATTTTAAAACCCTGTGTAGAGTTCTCCACTGATCCTATCCTTGATCTTGGGAGGGTTTTTTCCCCACCCTTAATCACAGAGGACTAAAATGCTTAAACACACACACTTTCACTTCAAGGTCTCCTTAACAAAAAAATTGTGTTCTTATAATTCCACACCTGAAAGTCGGGGTGCGTGTGTCATTTTAATCTTGGAAAAACACAAGTTTAGGATTTTTTTGAAATCAGAATTTGCAACTGATTTAAAAAAAAAATAAATCAGAGTTTGCGATTTTTAAACAAAAAAGTCAGGATCCCTGCTTATAACAAAATGCACTGCAGGTGTTCTAAGACAGCATTTCTCAACCTGTAGGTCAGAAGAATACATGAAAGGGTCATGAACAAACTTTAAAAATGGATTCTCCTTTAAAGGAGAAAAACCGTGAGAAACCATAGCTTTTCCCTTGCAAGCTGGTAGTTCCAGCCTGCGAGGGACTTCTTGGGCCCCCTCTACAATACACTCCCCACCTGCCCCACAAACCCACTCCTTGCCCCAAAAACCCATCCCCTGCCCCACACACGGGGGGGCTGGGGCCTGGGGGCAATGGGTCAGGAATGAGGGGTACTGGGTTGGGACTGGCCATTGATGTTTTATAAATGGGTCCTAGTCCAAAAAAGGTTGAGAATCACTGTTCTACAACAGATAAAATTACTATAGAAATTTAAGACAAATTTGGAAAGCTTTTGCTGGGCAAACACTTTTAAAGCATTAAGCTAATTTTAGTGTAGGAAAAAAAAAAAAAAAAAAGAAGAGGGAGAGAGTCACGTACATGTAAAAAGGGAAAAATGGCAACCTATAACAACAAGGAAGCCTTAAAAATCAAATGGCCAATTCTCCCCCTCCCTCTTCTCTCTGTCCCTCCCCAGAACTACTCGCTCTCTTGAGATTTCAGGATCCATACAAGAGAGGTCAGTCTGATGAAACTACTCCATGCTAACTCCCTCATGTATCAGGATGGAGTTAAAAAGCAAAGCAAACACTGACAGTCAAATCAACTTACTGAGCCAGATCTCATCCCAAAGTACTGCATTTTTTTTTTTTTAAATCCAGCCTTGCGCTATGTCTCAGGTACTTCAGAAGGGGCTACAACTGGAAGCATAAAGAAAGCCTCATTTTCCATGTACAGATAAGAAGTGGGAGTCATCACATCTCAGACAGTCACTTAGCCTGTGGGGTTGTCCCCCTATAGCCACCTTAGCAACAGTACAATTCAAAGGGGTGTTAATTACATGTAGCAACCACTTATCTGGGCAGGTAGCACTTTTCTGTGGGGAGGAAGAAGGGAAGGGAGAAACTGTCCCTCTCATCTCAATGTACTCCCTTCCACCCCAGCACAAAGCAGGCAAGCACTGACCCTGCATCTCCATGCCCCTTCCCTCAAAGCATCAACATTTGTCATGTGGAGCCCTCCTCCCCTCCAGGGAATCCTACAAAAACATTTCACATCCCACATTAGCAGCTGCTTTTCTGCCTGACCTTGACCAACTCCGTAGTGCATTTTTCTATATTGCTATCTTGTGTCTTTAATATTGTGAAGTAACAGGCTGAGCGATATCAGTACTGATGGTCACTACAGTCCCTCCTTATTCCAAACCCTGTGAATTGTACACATGGACTACAAATTAGTCACCCTATCATCCGGACAAAAAAGAATTAACATGCAGGTTAGGATTTGAAGTTTCAGTTTAAGCTGCAAACATTTATCTTTTACCAAAAAGTCTTTGTTATTCATGTTGTGTGTCACTTGCTGCTTTGTTTCATCTAGGAGCTGCATACTATATTACCACAGCATAAGAACAAAGGAAAACAAGCCATACTTGAAAAAGCTTAAAACATTTAACAACAAAATTACATCCACTGAGCAGCAATTAATATATTTAAACAAAAATTCATAGTTAAAAAATATGCTTGCTAGTTTTTCCTCAGGAAGCTGGGAGGCATCTGGATAGCTAGACCTTAACAAAAAGTGATTGAAAAATCCAAATCCATAATATTTTAAAGACTAAATTCTCCACCAGTGATTTATTTGCCCTCAGTAAATTCTGAAGCCAGTCAACTGCTTTACACTAGTTCTTGAACAATGGGAAGATTATTCAGAATACTGCCTAGTGCTCTTTGGTTTAAAAATTAATCTGGTTCTGAAACTAATTTGCCTAATATACTTCAACCAATGAAGAATTCAGCAAATGTACACACTTTGTCAATTATAAAAATAGAAAAAAAATCTGTTATTGAAAATATGCTTATGATTAATATACTGATACTGGGCAGGAATTACTGAACTGCATCCCAATCTTCCCTTTGAGTACCTGAAAAAACACTCAACCACTATTATACATACACACACATATATATTCTGTAAAATAGTGATGTGATATCTATTTATCTATCCATCTGCCACTACTTTACAGAATATGTATATAGTTCAACCCCCTAATCCAAGCAGGACCAAGCAGTGTATCTACTACTGCCCCCATTTAGTATCATCTGCAAACTTGATGAGGGTGCACTCCATCCCATCTTCCAGATCGCTGATGAAAATATTGAAAAAACCAGCCCCACAGGCACTCCACTTGATACTAGCTACTAACTAGACCATTTCATTGCTATGCTTTGAACCCAACAATCCAGCCAGCTTTCTATCCTCCTTACAGTCCACTGATCCAACCAATACTTCCTCAGTTTGTCTGTGAGAATGCTGCAGGACATGTACCAAAAGCCTTGCTAATTTCAAGGTATATCATGCCCATTGCCCTCCCTGCATCCACAGAGACAGTCATCTCATCACAGAAGGCTATGACAACCAATGGCCTCCCTCAGGGGTCAGTACTGGCACCTCTTTTTCAACCTGCACATTAACAACCAGACTGCAACCAGCTCACAAAAATTTGTTTATGTTGATAACTGCACCTTTGCCACCCAAGCTCATGACTAAGTGCAGAACTCACATGTGATGGATACAGGAGACTGATATTAGAGTACTGCCTAAAACAGCACCTCAAAAGAAATCTCTCAAAGACTGTCTCAAGTGCTTTTCATCTGCATAATGCCAGCACTCATCATGCACTCACTATCCCTTTAAATGGTCAGCCTCTCAAATTTGAAACCTACCCAGTTTATCTTGAAGTCACCCTGGGCTAGACTTCAACCAGGGTTCGAATTACACTTTGACTTGGGTGGGGAGGAAGGGGTCTGCAAAAAAAATTAAACAAGTTCATTAACAAGTTCACCTAGGTGAAGGAGCAATCCAATTGAAGACCCCCTCAGGTTATGATTTGCAAATCTTACTGGGAGGCTCTTGTCTTATGCAGGGCGGGGGAGGAGGGGGGTGAAGCTGAGCCCC